ATATATATATATATATATATATATATATATATATATATATATATATATATTTGGTGTGTAAAAATATTTTATATAGTTATGTAAATTGTAAAAACTACAGAATCCAGATTTTAGCGGAAGAAATGAATAAAAAATAATAATCAAACGCCAAAACTTACATTTTTGGCGTGCTTAAAGCTCAATTAACTGTTAAGTCAAAGTTAATAGTTGGATTTCATTAAACGATAATTTTCTTTAATTTAATTGAGCAATCGTCTGATACTGAATCATATTTCTTTTATGTTATTAATTAAATTCGTATAGGAAATTAGCACTTTATTTCTTACTCACTGAGAGAATATACAATTCTATGATGTATGTACTATATGTTATGATATTAGTACTGAAGTATATTATACTAATTTGTGTAGTAAGCATAGAAATTGCCTATAATCATTCTCAGTGGTCACTGAACTAAAAATGCATTCGATTTTGATTTAACAAAATTTATGCTGTATTCAAATATAAAAATAATTTTTGAGCAATAGAACACGAATTACATGAATTTCAATACTTATCGATAAACATACAAATAAACAATCAATTCAGTTCTTAAAGTTGTTTTTACAGATTGCCGTAGGTTTTGCAGAAGTATGCGACTAATGCCATGTCGCGAACCTCTAAAGTGACCCGACTGCGATATTGCGTTAGCAAGTAAGCATCTTGGAAGCGTTGCGTTAAATACATCTCGGTTGCGGTCTGCACAGCCTCTAGGGCGCCAGTGGTTATTTTGAATGGAATTTTTGAATGTTGTATCAAAATTTCACGTAACAGGCGTGAAAATGCTAATCGGGGTATCAAAAAGCCCTGGTGCTTCTGTAAACATTCAATTTCACGGTGCAGTTTTTTCAAACGATGCTCTGGAGCATTTTTTTTGCGTCTCGATGATTTTGCGGTTGCTGGCGGCTGCTTTGGGTTATGTTTGTTGGATACTGATGATTGTTGGCGTTGCCTACTAGGAGGGGTTGCTATCGGTGATAAGTTTTCTTCATCGCTGCTAACATTATCTATTGTGATCTTTTGAGCACGGTTTCCTGAAGAGTTCTTGCGCAGCGTTGAGCATTTACGAGTGGTACGACTAGTACGACTAGTGGTAAATTCTAATCCATAGTCAGTCTCGTTGTCGTGCTCTGGCGTTTGGAATGCACTTTCCTCATCAGCAATGCTATCTGAATGAATCATCTCTTTGTTTTCGCTGATTATATCTATAATAAATGAGCTTAGTATAGAATCTGAAACTCGACAAAAATCAAACTAAATTGCCGCCTTTTTTCTAAGCATTGCTGTGTAAGGGATGCAAAACGAAATTAAATAATTACATACAGCACTGCACGTTTTCAATACTACTATAACATTTGAATGTAGTATTTTTAGTATTTTTAGGTTTTAAATTTTTGTTGATTAGTATTTTATCAAGCAGTCACACTGGCATTGTTTATTTGCTACACTGACACTGTGTTGTTTGGTCAGTGTTTGCTATCAAGTTTCGAAGTAGAGATGTCAGAAGATAATAATAATGGTAGAGAATATATATTGGATGCAGACTCTGAGCTGCGATTCGAAATCGAGCAAAAAGAGGCTAAAGTGTTTTTGACGGTAATGTGTAGATTAATGTGTTGCTTCTGATTCTATAAAAAAATATATAAATACTTCAGCTCATCTCTGGGCTTGCAGAGCTCTTTGGCACTGAATTGGTAAAGAAAAAGAAATATGAATTCGGAATAGGGGCAAAAGTGGCGATATTTACCTACCAAGGCTGCGTTCTGCAAGTAACGGGCAAAATGGATGTCTGTTATATCTCTAAAGAGACACCGATGATACAATATATAAACTGTCATGCAGCATTGGAGCAGTTTCGTATTGATGCCGAAGAACATGATAAACGGGGCCCAGTTATTCTAGTAGTAGGGCCCATGGACGTGGGAAAGAGTACCCTCTGTCGTATTCTGTTGAACTATGCAGTGCGAGTAGGCCGAAGACCGCTTTATGCAGATCTCGATGTGGGCCAAGGTGCTATTTCAATCCCTGGCAATATAGCTACTGTTCTCATTGAACGACCAGCCAGTGTCGAGGAAGGATTTGCGAAAACAGCACCTTTAGTTTACCACTTTGGTCACAAATCTCCTAGTGGCAACAGCGTGCTCTATAATGCTGTAGTATCAAAAATGGCGGAAGTGACACTGCAATCGTTAGACGCCAATAAACGAAGTATGTTAAGAATATACATATGTATAAGATATTAGTTCAATAGCTTTATGTGTAATGCAATTGTTTTGCAGCCAAAAGCTCAGGCATCATTGTCAACACGTGTGGTTGGGTTAAGGGCTATGGCTACAAGCACTTGCTGCATGCAGCCCGAGCTTATCGCGCTCGTGCCATTTTTGTATTAAACCAGGAGCGTCTGTACAATGACCTGTTGCGGGATGTACCGAGCAATGTTCATGTTGTCCTCTTGCCAAAAAGTGGCGGCGTGGTAGAGAGAACTAAAGAATTACGGCATGAATCGCGCGAGCAACGCATAAAGGAATATTTTTATGGCAATATACGTACGCCTTTTTATCCATTTTCGTTTGAAGTCAAATTTCAAGATCTACGTCTTTACAAAATTGGTGCTCCCCCGTTGCCTGATTCATGTATGCCCATTGGTATGAAGGCGGAAGATAACAAAAAAAAAGTTGTACCGGTTACGCCGACGCCATCTCTACTACATCACATTCTCACGTTAAGCTTTGCAGAGTCTACGGATGAAAATGTCATTGGCACTAATGTTGCTGGGTTTTGTTGCGTGTAAGTTAATTTGTTATTTTATGAAGATATCGATGATACATTTGTGTTCCTCTTGTTAAAGTACTGAAGTGGACATGGAGCGACAATCTGTAATGCTGCTGTCACCACAGCCACGTCCTTTGCCGCCGAATGCGTTGTTATTGTGGTCTGAAGTACAGTTTATGGACAATCATGCCTAACGCATGAATTTGTTCACATATGTACATACATATGTATGTATTTATCTTTTCATTGACATGTATTTTCTTAGATGTCCAATAGAAATTTTAATTTTAGAGTAATTTCCAAACGGTGTGTTGTTCCAGATGTTATGCCAAAACAAAAATAATCCGATTTAAAAACAAAATTTTAATTGAATAAAATAAAAATTTTTATCTTTTTTATTTATTTAAAAATATATTAAATGAAAACGCAATTAAATATTCACAGTCCGATCATAATCCGATAGCTTTATTGCTAAACTGGATGTAATCGATATTCAGATCGATCATTTACTTGGTTTATTTATAAAAGCCCGTTACTTCCAGTTTTTTCCATTGAAGTCTGGCCGTCGAAAAAACGATGAAATAGCGAAAAATGAAAATGCTAAAAATAATAACATTCTAAACCGAAAAATACCAAGTCAATATTTAAAGCCTTTCTCAATCCTTAATAAGGGGTAACGCTCCACCCAATTTTGCGAATATGAATAATTGCTAGTTATTCACGGAAGTACATATGTGTTCAAGTAAAGGTAATGGTATTAATTGATTAATTATACAAAAAATGCTCTTTATATAAAATTTTATTTTTTAGCCTTTTCTAGCCATTTTCGATTGGTGATTTGGTTTGTAAAGGCGCTGGGGAGTTGAGTTGGCAGCTCTGTTTATTTCTAAAGAAACTACTCAACTGGGACTGTTAGTCGATATTTTATTCTAAATTAAATAGACAAACTGGTTTTAGGCTATAAAAAACACCACATACTTATGTTTGTAAAATACGAAATGATTGAACATTATCTAGGGGTACTAGACTAAATAACTAACAACGCCGATTTTTATTTATTTCTCCAATTATTTATCTACGATGTGAAAGTTAAATAATTACATTAGAAGGAAAATTTAAATTCTTGTCCGAAATTAATAATTTTCTGTTAATAACAGATTAATCAATGCTAAAGTTATTTTTTTCTGTTGATTGCTGAATTGCTGAACTGGTTGGTATATGGCTGCTTACATATAGTATCGAGTAGTATCGAGCGTGGAATAGAAGCATCACAAGGTTTAATAAATTAAAGTTATTCAAATAAATTACAAAAAAATGGTTAACGCTTTGTGTTCCGTATACCATTTTAGATGTAAATTGACTTAGCGATGCGTTCTCGCGATTTATTAAAACATTGTGTACACCGTCTTTTAAGTTGTGTGTGTTACTCTAGTCTAAAAAAAAAAAACAAGTTTTAACCAGGTGTAATTTAAATGTACATATTTCTAAAGTATGGCCCACGAAGCGACAATATAACCTGCTATAAAGACCCGTAAAATATTTTGTCTATCAAGTTCATGTCGTTGCTTAACATATTTGTGTGTTACAGTTACCGGCTTGTTCCACGGCTAAGACTCTACCAAAGGAAACAACAAAATAAAACCGACACACAATATTTAACCATAACAATGGCGCATTGCTTGCAAAAGCAAAAACAAGAAAGGAAGTAAGACAATGCCGTGACGAGGCGTTCACCGCCCAAATCTGTATTGACATTTGGCGTTTGCAGTTATGTGTCTGTATGATAAATTGCAATATACGTAGGTGTCGGGAAACTCCAAATGACAGTGATAGTGGCGTCCGGTTGATTTGCACTTCTCCGAATTTTTTTTAATGATTTTGTTCTTGGGTCGGAGCGTGTAAAATGACTCGTCGTCCACACAGAAGTGATTATAGTAATATTAAGTTTAAACAATATCGCAAAGTAACGCCAACAAAATGTGTAACAAATTTCAGCAGAATTTCTCACTTTAGTTATGTGATAAAGATTTTCATCATTTGCTGCTGCATCTCTAAAAGTTTTCAGTACAAAAATGGTAATGTTTGAACATTTTTATGGAAAAATATATGATAATCAGTTTAAAATTTATGGTGTAATTAACTTAATATCAAAAACGTTTACCAATATTGTTGAGTGATATCGTTCTATGAGAAGTTGCAGTATATACATATATTGATGCAGTCGTGTGCGATTGCGATGCTCAGATAGTCTTGTACCTTGCTGAGGCTTAGACTGAGATAGGAAAAAATGCTTTATGCATGACTGCATGACTGCTTACCGGCTCGAATCCACCTTGGAACCAAGAGCTATCCCGCATTAACCTTCAAGCTGGAGCCGCACAGTGTGCTCTAAATGAGCGTTGCTCTCTGTGTGTCTGCGTCCAAGTAATACTTCTTCCGCTGCAGAATCTTTTCGGCGAAGTCATCGACTTTTTTCCAAGCTCCAAGTTCGGTTCTTTCTTCCGACCATCTTTTGCAGTTGATGTAAGTGTGTTCTGCATAGTCCATTGAATTTTCGCAGTAAATACAGATGGACGCGGCAGTTTTCCTCATCTTATTGAGGTACTTTCGAACGTATTTATGTCCGGAGAGCAGTTGTGTCAGATAGAACGTCGCGACGTTTCACCATGTTTTCTATTTATCCACTTCTTCAAGCGGTCCATCTTCTATACCTTTTGCATGACCATCTTGCCTTGGCGCTCTTGGGAAAGGAAGTCAATCGGTATGACTGCAGTCACGGCAGCCCCAAAGACTGTGCGGTACGCCGAAGTTATCCTTAGGGCTGCTCTTCGTTGCAGAGATAACATCGGGTATCGCCTTTAAGGTGTCAGTCCATACTTCACTATCATATAATAGTATTGCGTTTGTCGCTTTCATGGCAGCCCAGATTAATGCCGTCGGGCCGTCAACGTTTGATATCAATCTACTCAAAGACCCCCTTGCGATAGCAAGGTTTTCGCTTACTCGCATTTCTTTTTCGGTTGGGATCTGCTTTTCTGTGAACAGAAGTAAATCTGTTTTATGGGTGACAAGTTCCAATCCTCGAGAGCTAAGCCGTGCGTACGGATCATGACTTGGGTAAGTCTCTTTTTCGTCGGCATATCCATTGACCCCTGTGCAGCTCCTCCAGTCACTCTATACCGTTTCGTACCCGTCTGTGTGGAGTACAGGAGTATTCGATCTTGCAAATAGCTCCTGATCATATTCATGAGGTACTCTGGAAGCGGTGCTCCAAGGAGGCAAGCATATCGCTCTAACTGACACTATTAAAGCGTTTTTAACGTCCAGCGTTGCTAGCAGAACCACTGAGCGCGCACCTTGCATTGGCTCTCGACGGCTTTATAACGATCATATCTGCGTTCTGCGACGACGACAA